TTTTTTTGGAGAGGTTTAAGCTATAGGGCGCATGCGCTCGCCAGACAGACAGAGAGAGAGAGACATAGAGACAGAAAGCGAGAAATCACCCCCCAGGGGGGATGGTCACGCCGCAATCCCTTCTCCTCCATTCTCCTCTTGAGATTGATATTATATTCAGGCTAAAGACAGAAAGGACGAAACAAACACTGAACTCTAGCTACTCGGTTTGTTTTTCACGGACATATGAGTTACCCATACGGAGGAGAGGGAGCCAGGACTCTCACGGCTGGGGAGGGGGGATGAATATGGGAAATGGAATGCTAGGAGAAACCACAGGTCCTGCGGTTTAGGTGGACTTGGAGTGATCAGTTTGACACCTCCTGATTTTGAACAAACATGGGCGGACATAGACATATAGACGTGTGCACACTCATACAACACACATATCTATTTCCTAGCTCTGTCTGTTGAGAGGGCCTTATAACAATGCTCCAGTGTCCAAATGTTGGTATTTAAATGCCAATCTCTAAAAAAGGAATGTGGGTTCCTTGGAGAAACAGTGGGAAACCCAAGTTGAACCTGGAGTATCTCCTTTTCAGAAATGAAGTGAATGCTGGGGCTGGCAGGTGGCGTGGAGGTTAAAGGCTCTGGACTCCCCGTGCCTGACCATGGTTCACGCTTTCTTGCTTTCTCTTTCTATCTTACTCTGGTCAAATTAAAAAATAAATAAATAAATAACAATAATGATAAATAAAATAATTCTATAAAATATTCATAAAAAGAAATGAAGTGAATGCTGAGGGAATGATGCGGGGGCACAGTAAAGGGGTGTGGAGCTAGGTTAAAGGCCCCTCTCCCCACCAGCCAAACACGTGGCCAAGTGAGCATTAAATAACGCTGCAGATCGTAATGCATAAAATAAGAATCCCAGAGTTCCCCAGATGAGAGTTCCCTTGCAAGAGGATGCCAGCTCTTGAAGAGGAGTGATGTGAAGAACAGTGCAATCAGAAAGACTGCCGTTTGGCAACCACTGCAGGTAATGACTGCCTCAGGAGAGAATCATAAATGGATGCTCAAACCAGGGGCTGAGCGGCTGAGGAGGAACAGAATACTTAATGTGGTGACAACTCCTCCCGGATAAACAGTAACTTTCAAGTGAAGAAACCTGGCAGAACCATCCTCATCAAGCCTTCGAAGCATGCACCAGCAATGAGGGGCCAAGTCTCCCGATGTGAGGAACCGAGAGGGCTGCAGCACCTCTGCCGTGTTCCCGCCCAGCGTGCGTGACTGGAGCCTGGTCTTGGGAAATGTTGGACAGACTCCACTTGAACGCTCAGCCGGGTCACTGGCCTGCGCCCTTGGAGATGTAGGGTGATACAAGACGACGACTGAGGACCATCCCACAGTAACAGACGTGAAAGCGTGACGACTAACGCAGTGTGAAATCCAATCCTGGGTCCTGGACCAGGAGGCGGTATTTTTTTCCCTTTTGTTATGATGGTATAGGAACTAGCAAGGTCTAAATAAAGCCTTTTCCCAGTTAAGACAAGAGTAACAAAAGGACTATGTTCTGCTCAAGAGACCCATAAAACAAAACCCTCTAGTAGTGCCTGTGGACTTTAAAAATAAAGTAACAGGAAAAAAAAAAGCCCCGTAATTCCAGGACACATACATGTAGCCCCAGAGAGAATTAAAATTCGGGAGGTGGGGGCAGGGGGAACCAAACAGCAACAAAAGAAAAACAAGGCAGGATTAACCACACCATTTCAGTCCCAGCTCCACACTGGCCGAGTAACACTGGACAGGCCACCTGACTTCTCAGGTCACACTCCCATCCGATTTTCTGGACAAAAAGTCATAGTAAGCTATAGAATGTATTTTGCATGACTATGTATATAAATAAACGGTCATCTTTTGATAATAAAATTCTATTTCGTTATCACTCAAAGTCACAAAATAATTCCCCTGGACAGTCCTCTCTTTTTTTAAAAAAAATTTTTTTTTGGAGAGGTTTAAGCTATAGGGCGCATGCGCTCGCCAGACAGACAGAGAGAGAGAGACATAGAGACAGAAAGCGAGAAATCACCCCCCAGGGGGGATGGTCACGCCGCAATCCCTTCTCCTCCATTCTCCTCTTGAGATCTTGGGCACGCACACACACGCGCCCGGCGTGAGGTTTAAGCCACCGGGTCCCGGATGCGAACCGCGGTCGACTACGTGGGAGTACAGCGACATACCCATTACGCTAACTGTTGGTTCCCCACAGTCCTCTCTTACGTTTCAATAGTAGCTCCATTAAAAATACAGTAGGTGGTGGCTGGCAGGTGGCATGGTGGTTGGGATGCGGGACTCTTGCAGTTCAAGTCCTGGACCTGGCAGCTTGTTCTATCATTTTCCCTTCTCTCTCTCTGGTTAATAATATTAATAAATAAATAATTGTTTAATATAATAAGTGGTTTTAAAAAGTTTGGGGAGGGGCCAGCAGGTGGCACAGTGGTTAAGGTGGCTGGACTCCCACATGACTGACTGTGGTTCAAGTCCTGGATCTGGCAGCTTGCTTTCTCATTTTCCTCTCTCTGGTTGACTTAAAAAAAAAGAGAGAGAGAGAAAATAATGACACTGAATAAAATAAAAATAAAAACAAAAAAGGGTTGGGGAGGCAAGGTGCAGGGTAGGGACAGAAATGGTATCCTTAGTAGAACGGAAATTTGGTAATTTCCTTCAAATGACCAAAAACATTTTAGCCCCATTATTTCCTCTGTAATAAATCTGACCTTTAAATTCTCTTCATTCCGTCTTTTGGCATACCTGATTTGCTTTGCATGCGTTCCTTTGGAGCTCACATGTCTTTGCATTTGAAATACCAAGAGTACACAAAAATAGCAATTTTGAATACATAACACCTCTGGAATATTTCCACCCATAGGCACTTATATATAGAAACTTTTATTCAGAGAGCTCACACTATGATTTTGCTTTATTATGCTAACAGCTCTAGAGTTTAGGAATAAATCACATGAACAGGAAGAAGTTCTGGGATGGTGCCAGCATGCCTCCTAGTGGACAGTTAAAACATTTCATTTCTAAGAAGGACTGAGCTACGTTAGTATACATGGCCATGTCTACTTGGGCACATGTATCATCTTTGGTTTCTTAAGCAAAAGATGTGACCACAATTCAGCTGTCCATCGGTAACGCAGATCCACCTCCCTGAATCCTTGGTAGGGTCAATGGTGGAGTGAATTCTATTTAGGCTCCAGTGGGGTGCTGCTCCCCCATACCTAAGGATGTTGACTCTGCGTGGACAGTGACTCTCAGTGTTTCTAATTCCAACAGCCCCACTGCCTGCTGGTGCTTCTAGAATGCAGGCTCAGACTTGTGCAGTTATCAATAAGCTTCACTCAACACCCTTTGTCTTAGATGGGTCTCAATCTTCACAAGATTTCGGCCATTAGGGGTAGGCTAATTGGTGGAGGGTTAATGTAATAACTTTATGGCATCTATTTTATTTTTTCTTTTTTTGTAGTTTGCAATAGGGCACATGTGCTTGCCAGAGGGAGAAAAAAAGGAAGGAAGAAATCACCCCTCACCCCCGGGGTGGGGGAATGGCCAGGCTGCAGTCCCTTTACCCCTGCATTCTCCTCTTGGGATTTTCTCTGAGAGGAGAATGTTTTCCAAGCTGCCGGGTCTGGGACTTGAACTGAGCAGGAAGCCATATGGAATCCAGCTGCCTTAACCACACACCACTGGCTGGCCTTTGGCACTTATTTTAAATAAGTCCCTCTTTTATTTAGCATTCAGTATCTATCATATTTTCTTTAATCTCTTTAAAAAGCCACACTTCCTCACACTTTTCAAAGCAGACACTACTAATAAGGGGTATTTTTACCTGAGAGGTCTGAGAGAAAACTCTTTTACTGTAATCAAGTTCAATGTATCAGGACAGAAATGTACATGCGGCCGTACAGGTCTTCCTTTCTTACGGCCTTAATTACAAGGGATGATTACCGGTCCATGTTCCAGCTCTGTATACCTGTCAGGCCGAGAGACGGTCAGAGGGACAATTCTGTGAAGGGACTGTTTCTCATTCACAGGTTAATGATGAAACAGGCACAGATTTTAGTCTCTAGGTTAAAGCTAATACCGATTTAAAAAAGAGCGTTATCAGAAAAGTCAAGACGTATTTTTGTTTTTCTATACAAAAATGCCACATGACTTTTCCAGCAACGATATATGGAGAGTGGATGGAAAGCCAGGGACAAAGTCAGGGAGGACAGTTACGGCTCACACTTGAATTCGTACTCTGAAGAAAAACATCTTGTCGATATTTCATGTGAAAATATTGAGAAGATCTGCTACTAATAAAAAAGGATAAAGAACAGTAAGATAATCTAATAGACATTTTCTCTTGAGTTAAAGACTGTACCTAAGAACTTAGCATTTTGGGGCCAGCAGGCGGCGTGGTGGTTAAGGGCACTGGACTCCCACATGGGCAACGGTGGATCAAGTCCCAGACCTGGCGGCTTGCTTTCTCACTTTCCTTCTCTCTTTCTCTCCCCAACTCTGTCCCTCTCTGGTCAAATAAAAATAAATAAATAAATAAAATAATTCTTTAAAAAAAAGAAATCAGTTTAAAAAAAAAAAAGAACATAGCATTTCATAGCTTCTTAAAGATAAAATGTCAAGAGCTGTGTATGTGACAATCATGAGAAAAATGATAAATAGTTCAAAATGTTCGAGTTTGGAAATTAGGTTGGGGACTGTCTTGTAAAGCTTATTTTGATTCAGTTCTTGGGAAGAAAAGATGAAAAGTTACTATCTGCATACCAAAAGAAGACAGCTAAAATGAAAACCATAGCAGAAGTTCTGGGAATGTAATTCCTCCTCATTGACCTCTTGGGACTTGGGGTACTATTTTAAGTTTCTCCAATAAAATATTTTCTTGGAGAATTTGTTTCCAGGAAAACTTATATAGCTTTTTTTTTTTTTTAACTTGAAAAAAGACAGAACGTACATACTGCTTTACAACTGTTGGCTATCAGACTTGCAGTCTTCTTGAAGGACTTTTCAAGGTAGTGTGCAAATCTTTCATTCTCATTTTCCTTTGACCCTAGTTGAAGAAATTCTCCTATAAAGAAGGAAAGGTGTCGTGTGAGATATGGTTTTACTGCCTGGCTAAATACCAGGATTGAATAGAAAAAGGAGAGAGCCGGAAACAACCTACCACGCACCAAATCTTCAATAACTTGGGTTAAAATAGATATGACTGTTGCATTTCCAGTCCGTGCCATAGCTATAGATGCTGCGGAAAGAATTAAATCTCCAGCAAGAACAGCCTAGAAAAAAAGAAAAAGAAAAAAAAACCTTTCAGAGGAAAGAACCAGAGGTAGCACCATCAATGAGGCTGACTTGTCAGAAGATAGGCATGGGGTGGAGGGAGGGCTCAGCTCGATGGCAGAGCTTTGCCTTCCTCTTCCTCAGCAGAACGGCATGGTATCAGGCCGTCAGAAAAGTCATGATGCATTTTTGCATAGAAAACCAGAAAAAAATACGTCATAACTTTTCTGGTGACCCAATAGTTACAGATGGGGCACGGTTTGGACTGGATGCTTCTCCAAGAATACCTTGCCTGCCTCCCCAGGTTGCAGCTTGAGCTGTTTCTTGAGAAACAAATGCCTTGAGAAGGACACCAACTTCTCCCCACGCCTAGCCCCACTGTGCAGCTGCCTTCAGCTCATCTGCGCGGGACCCTCCATTCTTTCCTCAAGCCAGCTGGTGTGCCTTTCCGCTTACTGTTCCTTCTGCTCACGAAGTCCTTCCCCTGCTGGAGGACTCATTTGCTAATTAGCTCTGATGCGACCTCCAGGAAGTCTCCTCTGCTTGTCGGTCAGATCAGATGCCTGCCTTCTGGGGGGGCACAACTTGCCACTGGTGTCCTAACTGACCACACTATTCGCCACGCTCCTTGAGGGCACAGACTAGAATTGTCTCAGCTGGGACTGAGCACACCCCAGTGTAGGGCACAGTATGTTGTAGTCAATGGGAACTAAACAAAGGAAGCTCGGCTCCAAGTTCAATGCTCTGTGCATTGTTTTACACGGCCCCTCATTCCTAGACAAAATGTTTTTGGTAATCAATATTTTTTCAGTCTTCTTTAGATCATGAGCAGATGTCCACATAGCAGTAGCAACGAATTATAAATCATCCGTCATTGAACTATATACTAGCATCAAGTACACAATCCATATGTTCACATTAATTTGCATATTTAAAGATATGCGCGTGCTATTATATTCCATGGTAATTAGTCATACACACCAATGAACAGACATTTTAATTCACAGAATGTTCAACATATTCATTTTAGGTCATTATTATCTGTTTAAGATCTCTAGTGAAGTAATGGAGATATGGTCTAGTATCAAAAAATAGTGATGTTCAGTTTATACTTACCAATGAATCATCATTTTATATAAGATAAGACATCCTGATACAAGTATAGATGCTCCTTGACTTACGATGTGGCTCCACACAGTTAAACCCGTAATAAAATATCATATGTTAACAATGCATTTCAACTATGGCTCATTTGAGGTACTTTGAAAATCACTTTTGCATCATTGTCCAGTTGAAAAATCATTAAGTCAAATCATCAAGTCGGGGACCATCAGTATAAACTTCTACAGCCGTTTCTCATAGACCTATCTATGTAGAAATGCGTGTGTACGTGAACACTCACATCCACACTTCTACTTTTTATGTTAGCAGCTCAGGGTTGGGAGCCCTAGGCCTTTACCTCTCTCTTCTCCTGGCCCTGAGGATCCAAGAGGCCAGAAGATTCCAGCACCCAGAACCAAGACCACAAGACTGTGGAAGGCTGGGTGGGGTAAGGCCGCGGTAACAAGGGCTCCTGGAGAAAGCATTATGTGAATGGACCTGGGTGTCGGTAACGAGTAGCTGTGGCTGAAATGAGGCAGAAGAGAGGAGGCCGGCTGGTGGCCTTCTGCTGAGCAGATGCCTCTCATGGCGGCCAAAGGCAGGCGAGGGGACAAATAGTTTCTTCTACCTGCCCTAGGGAAGAGGCCCAACCACAGAGGCAGACACACAACAGGACCAGCCAAGAACCAAACGTGCTCTCTGGACCCTCCTCCCTTGCTCTGGCTTGTCCAAGCCAGGCTGTGGGACTGGCCCTCCCGACACAGAGATGGCAGGCAGGCCAGACCGTTATTGTGTCCTCTCCGAAACTAAAGCCCCTCTCTGCAACATTCTGGTGTACAGAGTTCTGTCAATAGACATAAAACCTGTTCACTGAAACTTTATAGGTCAACTCACTTTACCAACAATGTCATTTCCGTTAAAGAAAAACCAGTATATGAAGACATTTCTTCTTTTAATAGGACAATCAAATAGGAAGGAACCAGGCACTACAAATTTGGGAGAAAGGGGGATGCGGGAGAAGGCGGCAACATTTACACAGATTTTGCTTTCTCTTTGACGGGACAAGATGTCCACGGAGACTCGTGTGTGCTCTCAGAAGGCCTGCATGCCTGCGTTCTCGTGAGTTCAGCTTTACTCCTGGTCTTCGACCCATCACTTACACATTCTCAAACAGACCTCCTTATTTCACACACTCTCTTTGAGGAATGCTAATAAAAGTGATGAGGAAATATGCCTTAAAATATACACATATGGGGGCCAGCAGATGGTGTAATGGTTACATTGCTGGACTCCCACGTAGCTGACTATGGTTTGAGTCCTGGACCCGGTGACTTAAAACTCATACCAGGTGCATGTATGTGCATACCCAAAATTCCAAGAGGAGAATGGAGAAGGGATTGCAGAGTGGCCATCCCACCAAGGGTGATTTCTCGCTTTCTGTCTCTCTGTCTTTCTCTCTCTCCAGCGAGCACACGTGCCCTTAGCAAAAATCTCTCTAAAAAATTATACATGTATGTATATATGTGTATCTATCTATCTATCTATCTATCTATCTAACTTCACACACACACATATATATGTGTGTATACATATATAAATACACACACACACACACACACACACACACACACACACTCGGGGTCAGCAAGTGTTGCGGAAGTTAAGGCACTGAATCCCAGGTTCTAATCCTACATGCACCATGCATGCCCAGAATCCTGAGAGGAGAATGGAGAAAGGACTGTGGTGTGGCCGTGACCCCTGAGGGGTGCCTCACTTTCCTTCCTTATCTCTGTCTCTCTCCCGCAAATACATGCATCCTATGGTAAAACTAAAAAAAAGAAGAAGAAAAAAAAAAAGTACATACATACACATACACACACGAGCCAACTCCAGTTATAGAGCTTCTATTTAAAAAGGTAAAATTCTCATAGAAAAGTATCCCTTCTGAGATTCTTTTTTCTTTTTAGTTTTATTTGCCTTGATACTCTGACATGTGGCAGTCACCATAAATATGAAGGAATTTAACTGACTCTAAGTCGCCTGAGCCCAAAAGTAAGATGTATGATTCCTCATGAAATACACTTTTTGAATATCCATGAAAAATCCCTTTCCCTAGAACTAAAAGGAATTCTATGGGAAACTCTGAATAACCAAAAATAACTGGGTTTATTTTTCTTATGATATTTCCATCTATCAGATATCTACAGATAGGCGAGACAGGGGTACTTTTCTGAAATTCAGACGACCACATTTGACCAAGCATATCATCATCACTTTATAATGATACAGATCAGAAAAACAAATACGATACTAAGATCACGTGATTTGGTAAGAAGAGTTTTTAAATAGCAAAAACAAAACAAAACAAAACAAAAAACACCATACCTTCTTTTCACCCCAGATCTTATTAACTGTGTGTTTTCCTCTTCGAGAGCTTGCATCGTCAATAACGTCATCGTGAACCAGACTAGCAGTGTGGATCATTTCTGCAATTAAGGCTATGGTGCGCTGGCTGGCTTGCATATCTCTAGTTAACAGAAAGCAATGCTTTTTAACAGAGACGCCGCCTAGAACCTTCTCAGCAATCATCTTGTGCAAACTGGACATCGGATCTAGGATAAAGAATTTTATTTCTCTAAGAGAAACTGTATACGAATTTTAGCTTTCCTACAGAGCCATTTCTATCATCTGAAGAACATTTCAAAAATGCAAAGGAGACCCTTAACCATGTTAAGAAGTAGAATTTGAGGCTAGCAGGTGGCATGCAGGTTAAGGTGGTTGGAACCCACGTGGCTAACTGTGTGGTTTGAGTCCTGGACCTGGCAGCTTCAAAGACAAGCCTGGTGCATGTGTTTTTCATACCCAAAATCCTGAGAGGAGAATGGAGGAGAAGGGGCAGTGGTGTGGCCATTCCCTCTGGGGGTTGATTTTCCATTTTCCTTCTCTATCTCTGGGTGAGTGCGAGCACTCCATAGCAAATAAAAAAGTTACAAAAAAGGGTAGAACTTGTATAATTAAGAAAAAAAGGGTACGTATCTCAGAAGTCTAGCCATTAGGCTGAAGAATCATCACCCCCTCAGGGAGATGGCCATGCTGCAATCCCTTCTTCTCCACTTTCCTCTCAGGATTTTGGGTGCACACGCACACACACCTGGTGTGATTTTCAAGTCACCAGGCCCAGGACTCAAAGTGCAAAGTTGGCCACGTGGGATGCAGCCACCTTAACCTCCATCCCACCTGCTGGCCTTGAGAAGGATTTTTAAAAAATAATTATTTTATTTTATTTATCATTATAATCATTTTTAAATTTGCTGCAGGGCCCATGTGCTGACCAGAGAGAGACAGAGAGAAAGAGGGAAAGTGAGAACACAAGCGACCAGGTCTGAGACTCAAACTTCTGTAAGCAATGTGGAAGTCCGGCACCTTAACCACCATGCCACCTGCTGGCCCCAAGAAGTATTTTCTAGAAGTGTATTAAGGAACCACCTGGGCTGGATGGTGGTGCTCTGGTAAATGTGACACTCTTAGAAGCTGAGCAACATCACAAGATTCTGATTCAGATCTACAGAACTTGAATATGCTGGCACACACATTAAGCAGGGCTGACTCAAGCTGGGTGTGTTGGGGCTGCTTTTTCTCTCTCTCTTACTATAGATAAAATAAATAAACTTAAAAACCAAAAAGCAAAAAAAAAAAAAAAAAATCATGATATTCAATTCCTTTTTAGTTTTTTTTAAGAGAGAGCTTTTTACTTTAGAGCGAGTGTGATCCCAAAAGAGACAGAGATAGTTAATGCTTTATACTGCCTTAAGCTCAATAACCAAGATAGAATATTTGTCAAAACTTTCTTCTAAAACATATTTAATATTTACATTAGAAATATAAACTTTCTACTTTTTTTTTTGTTATTGTGGGTTTGCACAAGAGAGAGACAGAGAAAAACACCCTCATGGGGCTGGTAGGTGGCATGGTGGTTAAGGGCACTGCTCCCACAGGGCCAACTGCAGTTTGAGTCCCAGACCTGGTGACTTGCTTTCTCACTTTCTATTTCTCTGTCACTCTGTGATTACATGAAAATAAATAAATAAATTGGCATAGTGGCTATGTCACTGGACTCCCATGTAGTCAACCGCAGTTCAAGTCCTGGACCCGGTGGCTTAAACTCATGCTTGGTACGTGTGCATGTGTGCCCAAGATCCCAAGAGGAGAACAGAGGAGAAGGGATTGCGGCATGGCCATCCCCTCTGGGGGGGGGGGGATTTCTTGCTTTCTGTCTCTCTGTCTCTCTCTTTCTGGCAAACACACACGCCCTATAGCAAGAACCTCTCAAAAATAAAATAAAGTTAAATAAAATAATTGTTAAAAAAAAAATCTTAAAAACAAAGGAAAAAGAAAAAGCACCCTCCAACAGGGCATAGTCACACTGCCATCCTTTTTCCTCCATTTGTCCATCCCAGCAGGATGTGGGGCATGCGCCCAGCATGTTTTCTGCCCCACCAGGTCCAAGATTCAAACAGCCACGTGAGAGCCAGCTCCCCATGCGCAGTGCTTAACTGCTGCTCTCCAGGGCCAGCCCTCAACTTTTTAGAAATCACGGTAGAAGGTGTGCGGACACGTGAGTGCACGCACGTGAAAGAGAAAGCACCTTCCATAAATTCTAGTTACGCTGAGATCTCCTCCCCCCAGCCCTCCAGTTCAACAGGTCTTGAACATGGATGCCTGAGTGACCCTGTGGTCGGCCACGTGGCTTCCAGCACCAGAGTGCTACAATGCCCGCCACTAAGGCTGGGCTAGAAATTTAAACTTGTGTTTTCCATGTTTAACACAAATTACACCCTCAGGAAGATACACAGATGTGAATTTTACAGTTAAAAGGGAGTATTTTAATTTCTTTTTAATCATTATAAAACCATTGTCCATGATGGGAATTACTTTTATGTTTTTCCTTTTTGCGATGGGGTGCGTGTGTTTGTGGGAGAGATGGGGGGAGTGAGAAATCACCCCCTAGGGGTGATAGCCAAACTGCAATCCCTTCTCCATTCTCCTCTTGGGATTCTGGACACACACGCACATGCACTCAATGATTTTCAAGCAGTCAGGTCCAGAATTTGAACCACAGTGGTCCACATGGGAATCCAGCACTATGCCACTTGTTGGCCTCACTACAGGAATTTTAAACAACTTATTTCAAGAAAATCAAGTTAGGGAGTGGGTATAGTGCCACGGCCTAGAGGTCGAGGAAGCCAGATCCCATATGGCTGACCAGTGTTTGAATCCCGGCCCCAGCGGCACGAAAAAGATGCGAAGTGCATGGGTGTGGGCGGCCAGCATCCCGACAGGAGGGAGAAATGGGAAAGGAACGACAGTGTGATCACACCCCGTCAGCAGGGACTTTCTCCCTCTTCCTCTCGTGAGTGCACATGCTCTCTGGCAACTGAAAAAAAGAGAAAAGAAGAACACCCAATTGGGGAAATAGCCATCTGAATTTCTGGAATCCAAAACATAAGCCTGACTTGGGACCAGCAGCTGGCTTAATAGTTACATCACTGGACTCCCATGTAGTCATCTGTGGTTTGAGTCCCGGAACTGGAGGCTTGAACCTCACACCAGATGCATGTGCATATATACCCAAGATCCCAAGAGGAGAATGGAAAAGGAATTACAGCGTGGCCATCCTGCTAGGGGGTGATATTTTTGCTTTCTGTCTCTCTGTCTCTCTCTCTGGCGAACACATGTGCCCTATAGCAAAAATCTCTTTGGGAAAAAAACGAAAAACAAAAAGCATATGCCTGACTTACATACTAAGCAAATGTTTCACTTATTGCAACAGCTTACTTTTCAAATATCAGGTTATATCTTAAAGAAGAGAAGAGGGAGGGGGCATTACTCTTTCTTTTAAAAATCTATTCTGAATAGGGACCAGTGGATGGCATAATAGCTACATTGTTGGACCCCCATATAGTTGAATACCCTGGACCTGGTGGCTTAAAACTTACACAAGGTATGTATGCATGTATGCCCAAGATCCTGAGAAAAGAATGGAGGAGAAGGGATTGAGGCATGGCCATCCCCTCACGAGGGTGATTTCTCGCTTTCTGTCTGTCTGTCTCTGTCTCTCTGGTGAGCGCATGCGCCCTATAGCAAAATCGCTCTTAAAAAACGAAAACAAAAACCACTCCTCTGAACATCTCTACAAGGTACTGCTCATTCTAACTCCTCAAAAACCAGCAGAAGCAATGAAAAATGAAGCAAAACTACATATAAGATGCTGGGATTTAACTGCAGACAGTAAATGAGCATAATTTAAAAACGTGATGCCTTGCCAACTCCTTACTTAAGGCCACTGAACTAAACCATGCAACATTCCATCTACCTTCATCCTGGAAATCAATGGTAAAGTGCTACTCATTATTTATTAATGCTTCACAGTAAAAACAGCTGTAATCCTTCCAGATCACTATAGATTTTCCCAAGGAGAAAGAAAGAAAGCAAAAGCAATGGGAGGCAGGGACAAACCATCAGCTAAAACTACTCAGAAAACAAACAAAAACTATTCAGAAAATGAGAAAATAGAGGTTCACAATTTCTTCCATCAAAGAGCCTACATGCTGTCAGAGAGAGACAGAAAGAAAGAGGGGAAGAAAATACACCCTAATGAGGAGTGGTCACATCATAATTCCTTCTCCTACATTTCTCCATTATGTCAGGATTTTGGGCACCCCCCTACACCCAGAGGGGATGGCCACACTGCAATCCCTTCTCTATTCTCCTCTCGGGATCTTGGGCACGCACGCACGCACATGTGCCTGGTGTGAGTTTAAGCCACCAGTTCCGGACCTTGAACTGTGATCGACTACATGGGAGTCCAACGACATAGCCATTACGCCAACTGATGGTCCCAAAATATTAATTTTTTAGAGGTCTTTGCCTTAGGGCATGTACATTGGCTGGAGAGAGACAGAGATGGTGAGAGGGAAAGTGAGAAATCATCCCCCCCAGGGGGATAGCCACTCCACAATCCCTTTTCCTCCATTCTCCTCCTGAGATCTTGGGCATGCACACACATGCACCCAGTGTGTTTCAAGCCACCAGGCCCAGAACTCAAACTCAGTCATGTGCGAGTCCAGCAATATAATCACTACACCCTTTTTTTTTTTTCAATTAGAGAGATTTTTGCTACAGGGTGTTCACGCTCACAGGAGTGACAGAGAAAGACAGACAGAAAGTGAAGGGATGGCCATGCCTCAATCCCTTCTCCATTCTCCTCTTGGGAATTTGGGCAAGCACACACATGTGCCTGGCATGAGTTTTAAGTCACTGGATCCAGAACTCAAATCGTGGTCAACTACAGGGGAGTCCAGTGATGTAACTAACCATTAATGCCATCTGCTGGTCCCCCCTATTTAAAATATTTTAACGGTTCACAGACTACTGGCTAGCCAGGAGGTGCAATGGTTAAGGTGGATGGATCCCACATGGCTGACTATATGCTTTGAGTCCTGGGCCTGGCAGCTTGGAAAATATGCC